AAGTACTTCATTTAGAAGTATTATTATCTACTTTCACGTAAAATAGATCCACTAATAAGTTAGAAAATACTCAATGATCTCACTAAATTAAGTATTAGTAAATATATATATATATATATATATATATATATATATATATATATATATATGTGTGTGTGTGTGTGTGTGTGTGTGTGTGTGTATGTCTATGTGTGTGTATATATATATATGTATATATATATATATATATATATATATATATATATACTGTGTGTGTGTGCGCGAACACCATGAACTGCACTGTGGTTTTCTATGCACTGCTCATATATGTACATGTAAATGGCATGTACATACATGCTAATGCAAAATAAGTTTACATAATTTTCCATGCATCGGAACTTACAAGCAAATGAAACCTGACTGCCATTTGAAAGCATGAAATAGTTGAAGTATGATACCTCGTGTATAGATTCCAACAGAAAAGTGTGTCCTTTCAAACAATGTTCTCGAGATTGTTGGTCAGCAACTTTCAGAGATACCCCTTCGAATGTTAAAGTTGGTGCATGCCTGATACAGAAAGAAAAGTACATCTTAAACAATTCGAATGTTAAAGTTGGTGCATGCCTGATACAGAAAGAAAAGTACCTCTTAAACAATCGGAAAAAGGCAGATGAGAAGTTAAGTCAGGAGGAAGAGTATACACACGAGAGGGAGCTTGGCATTTCGGTGCAAATAATGTTTCCTGCAATTAACTGAATACCATAGTCCAGTAGTTAGTAATAATATAACACTGAAAAGTCGAATGAAATTGCAGTTTAATTCACAGGAATAAGAAAACAACTTAAAGAAATTGCCAAGTAATAAGCCTCGACATTTTAATGCATGTTCTTCAGAGCATACATAAATTCAACAGAGTCACAGGTAACTTCTCACTGCCATTCTGAAATTTAAAACCTATGCCTTCAGTTATAAATATTATTCGCAAATTATCCAAGAACAGTTTGCCGTAATTTACGTGCAATGGGACTTGTCCTGAGTCTTTCTTATTTGAGTATACAACTATGAGTGCAGAAATACCTCAATCCAGCTAAATCTGACAAGGGGTTTTTTAGCCACTATAGCGTCAATGATGTCATCGTTCACATAGGTGA